GCCATAGGCTATTTTGGGCAGTGATGCTGAAACTCCTCACTTTGTTTTAATGGCTACGCCAAATATTTTCTACAACCTTTGAGATTTTTTTGGAAACATCTCTGGAAAACAGCTTCTAAAAATGTCACTGTCTCCACAAAAGCGGTCAGCAGGACACATTCGCTTTACTTCTTGGTCTTGTATGTAAACAGTTACATGTGTGCTTAACGTTACCATCATACCTCATTCCACTGATTTATCAGATTGTATCACAGCTTGCAAAAATCAAGACTTGAGTGTGTGGCAGACGTTAAGTCTATGTTGGTGGAGTATTTATTGTCAGGAGACGATAGCCGTGCGCAAGTTGGTATGAACCTGCTTTTACCCTGTTCTGTTAACGCGTCTAACTCTTGTTAACCGTAGGTGCTCCCTAGGCTGGCATAAGATGGGAGTGTGCAAATATGTCCAGGCCTGCCTGTGCTTGGAAAAGTGGTTTGCGCAGACTAGGGCTGCTATATAGTCTGTTTGCTTATGCTCCTTGCTGTGTAGGTGTGTTATTGACAGGAACCTACTACACTCATATTGAATGAGTTGGTAGGAGAACACCGCTGAACAGTCTGTTCAGAGAAGGGTCAAAGCATGCGGGACTGCATTCGCCTGGCTCTCCCTTCTTGCCCGCGCGCTGCGTGCACCCTCACTGGAAATGCTAAAACTGTTTCTGCCATTGCGTAACACACCAGCAACTGGGAAGGACCGATACGTCATTTTTCTCCCCTTTTCCTGCAGTTGGAGTGAGTGAGCGCCCAGCAGAGGAGAAAGGCTGGGGAAGCTGGTGGCTGTTAAGCCAGCCTGGCTACCAGAAGAAATGCCTGCGCAACTGCACTTTGAGTATTTTTGAACAGAAAAATTTCCCCCACAGCTTTGCACAGCTGCTGTTGTGAAACTAGTCAAGTCAGCCATCATCCCGGCCGTTCTTACCACGGCGCAGTCTGTTTTCAAGTATGTTAAGTTTTCAGGTTCGGGGATCTCAGGCAAGCCAGCACCGCACCCTCCCAGAGCTCCAAAAGAGCAGCACCGAGCAGAGCCGCTGGCCAGTCTGTCTTGTGGAGGGCTGGCGTCGCGCGGGTTAGCGTGAGGCCGACTGTAAGTGTTTGTGGAAAGAATAAATATTTGCGTAGTGCTTGTAATTGTTTTCAGGCTGTGGTGTTCGCCCGATGAGAAGATGTAAAGCCAGGGAGGGAGCCGGGGTGGCCGCACTTACTGCCTGACTTGCGGGAGCCTCTGGATGAGGAAGGCTTGAAGTCAGAACCTGCTGCAGCCTGGCAGACTCCTGCCAGAGCAGCCTGGCTCTGGATGCTGTTGCACTGGGCTCTTGGGAACCCAGGATATTGAAGGGTCACAGGACTTTCAGGGATCTCTGTAGGTACAGACTAGGATTTTGGAGACTTGCCTGGCGGCAGTGATCGCAGACCTTGGCTTGTCTGGCTTGTCTCTGTCCTGAAAACCACACAGCACCTTCCTTGTGCAGAAAACCCATCGTCCTTTGGAGGAGCTTTGTTTAATGTAAAAGATTTGTGATATTACTTGCTTTTTTCTTTTTCACAGCCCGGTTTTTTAACATGGGAAGAATTTGTTACCGGCTTGCACTGCTACACCAGTGAGTCCCGGGGATCCCCTGGGCAGACTCACTGCAAGCCAAAGGCAAAGGCGAGGCGAGATGAACCGTGCCCACGGTAAAGCGTGTGGCATCAGAGGGACTGCATAGTTCAGTTGCATGTTGACCACAACCTTTCTACAGAGAACTAGTTGTATATGTGGTCTTCGAAATCTGTCACCCAAAGATAACATCTTTGAAACCTCTTGGGTCTGTAGGTTGTGGCCAGCATCTTACTCTTTGGGACAGAGACTGTTTTCATTTATTTTTGGAAAACACCTATTTCGTCGTGGCCCACTCTGGAATGTAGTTAGTCATAACCAGAGTTTAAAAAAGAAAAAAAAAAAAACAACAAACCAAAAAAACCCCCAAACCACCAAATTTGGGCCTGTGGCTGAATAACTTAACCAGCTTTCTATGCTTTCCATGGCTATTCAGAGTGCTTAAAGGAGTGCATCTGAAAAAAGATGGAGACACTGGTATTTTTCACAAATATTGCCAATTTATAGGGTGTGTGCTTAGTATTAGAAACTATCATTAAAGTCTCTCTGAGTAATGTGGAACAATGCATAAATGAGCTATATATTCTATCTAAGTATTTGTTGCTTTAAATAGCAGCTTCAGGGACTCAGGACTGGAATAGCAGACATGTTGCTGGACATAGATGAAGTTTCACTGGCAGACCTCTCTAGCACCTGGCTTAGGAAAATGTTCCCCTCACAGATGCCAAAGCTGCATACCTTTTTACTTCTGTACTGTAGTTTTCAGCGTTATGGTGAGTATGGCCAGCAGTCGAAGCTCATCGTGGATACCTTGGATCTGGCTGATACAGATTGAAAGGGTCTTTAGTCTTAATCTTTTTATTTTTCTTCCATAATTCTGAAGTGGATGGATTATCTTTTTCTGGTGTGTTTTTGTTTTGAAATTTTACTGTTTTATTTGTTTGCTGAATTGATAACTTGCCATAGCTTCCTTATTTCTTCAACTTGTTGTAGTTGGTGCTGTAAAAGTTAATTTCACTACATATGAAAAATAAAACTGCCACTCAGACACCACTGCCTTCTATTCTGAAAGTGTACTTAGACAATGTGCTTATGCACGTAGTATTTTTAATTTCCAGCTTTGGTGCCAACATGAGCCCATTCTGTTTATTCCCCACAGTGGGAGCTTTGTGTGTTTTGGGGAGGATTTCTGTTTTGCAGCAGCAGCAGTTTTAGCAGCTGCGTGCTCTGAGGCCCTCATCTCTTCTGGCGTGAGATCCAGTGGTGAACAGAGAGAAGGGCAGAGTGGGAGCTGGATTGGACTGTCTGTGTTTTATGTCTTCTGCAAACCGAAGAGCCATCACTGAGTGAGGCAAAGTCCCATCTGCTGCCTCCTTTCTGCAGAGCTGAAGGCAGAAATCCTGAGCTTGAACGTTGCTGCAGATTGTCACGGCAAGGAAATGATAAGCTGGGAGTCTTTTTAAGACACTTCTTCAAAATAATTTTGGGCTGTTTGATCAACCAGTCTGGTTGTGAGACTCTGTGGAGTTGTATCAGATATGCGTGTCTGCAAACACACACATGAAACCCTCTTCTTGGGGTCAGATGGTCATCGATGCTGGAAGAGGAGGTGTCCTGGGAGGAAGATAACACGTGGTGGTTTGTGCCTGAAGGCACATACAAGCAAGTGAAGTTTGCCTGGACAAGTCAAATGTGGCACTTGTGCATTTGGAATCCCTTGGCAAGGGCTCAGAAAAGCCATCCATCTTGTACAACTGCTTGCTAGAAGGCAGGGGCAGTCCTCTGAACAGCCCCACAGCCCCTCCGAGGGCTGAGGGAACACCAGCAAAAAGCAGCCTCGGTGTGCTTGAGACCCTGGCACTGGCAACACGCTGCCCCTGGGCTGCACGCTTGCCACAGGAGCCCCTCGGAAGTGGGAGTGCGGAGGGGTGAGGTTGCTCTCGGTCAGCAGCAGTGAGACCAGAAGGAGAGGTTCCCAGCTCCTAGCTGCCTGCTGATGTCCAAAAATCCCTCCTGTGGTCGGGGCTGCTGGGTTAAGCACAGGAGCTGTAGAAAGCTGCTGCCGGTTGCAAGGAAGGGGCTGGCCAAGGACACTGCTGCCTTATGGATAAAAATAAGGCATATACTTATATTTTTATGTATGACTTTTCCAAAAGTAGAAGGCAGAGAAGGTGAATCCAGCCTCTTTGAAAATTAGGGATGCTGATGACAGCAAGGAAATACTGATCATCAGGCTAGATCTCTTTCAGGATTTATTCAGTTCTTTTCTCCCTGTTGAATAAGGCAATTATGTACTTTTTGCTGTGCTGCTTGGTTTATGTCTTGGTGGACCTCAGAGAGTTGCAGGTAGAAAAGAACTAAAATATGCAAGGAATTCTGTCTCTAATAACCCTTAAATGTTGGAGACAGTATCACCTAAAGTGTGGTTTAGTATTGTTTTCCGTGCAGCTATGGATTTTTTTCCTTGCCATCTTGCATGTGGAATCACCACTTTCACCTTTGCAAAATGTGTCTAAATAACTGTGAAGTTGCATTTCTTCGCCGGCTTTCTTCAGTACAAGATGGTGCCATTGTATTTGGGTCCTTCAAGCTCAGACATCTTTTGCTTTGTTTGCAGTAAGCCAAGTATTTCCAGATTCTTTCTCTACCACCCAAAATATTTAGACCTGTTAATGTAGTTTTTTGTTTGTTGGTTTGGATGGTTTTGTAGCTGTTTTTTGTTTATAAAGCCTTCAGTACAACTATCCCAAAGTGTGGCTTAAACAGTTTTCTCTCCCTGCTTTATTTGCTCAAAGTCTTCAGTTTGCATAAAAAGTGTTGTAGGAAAAAAAAAGTTTTTTGTCCGTGTTTGTACCAGAAAGAGCACTTTAAAAGGGACAGTATGGTTCTGGTGAAATGAAATAGATCAGTAAAAGATCAGTACAGCTTGTTTTGAAACAAAACTTCCAGCTTGTCTTAGAAACAAAATAGTTTTGTCTGTATGTTAAAAACTAGTTTTGGGGTCTGCGCCTTTCTTGTGCAGATTTGCGTTTTCACTAACAGAGCCTTACCGTTGCAATGCCTGTTCTGCTGGGTGAAACGTGTCAGGACCATGAGCTGCTCAGAGACAGCAAAGAGCAGGCTTAAGAAATCTGGACCTGTTCCTCCTGATCCTTTTCACCCTTATCCTTAGTGTGTGGGAAAGCTAGGAACTGATGTGCTTGAAACTAATGACTTTTGATAAACAAGACAGTCTGCTTCCACTTAAATGCTGCTCAGCTAGGAGGAGACGGCTTAAGAAATTCTGGAGTTTTATGGGAAGACTCCCAGCTTCCCTCTCTGAAAAAAGTAGTGATGGAATGACTTGGTTTTGTCTTATTTTCCAGTTGGCCTGCTGCTGCGGTACTGCTGGTTGTTCCTTGTGCTGCAGATGCTGCCCCAAGATAAAACAGTCAACCAGCACTCGCTTCATGTATGCGCTTTACTTCATCCTGGTGACTATCATCTGTTGTGTTATGATGTCAACAACAGTAGCTAACGAAATGAAGACGCACGTAAGTAAGAGAGATGAACCCACTGCTGCCCCTGGAAAGAAGTGGGCTCCTTCCACAGCTCTTCATGTAAAGGAGTCTGCCTCAGAAGGGGCTGTCAGTTGTCTCCACCCATCCACTTCCAAACCCAGACGGTATGTTTTTCCGTGCTCAGCCTCTTCCTGCCCAGGGCTCACCCATGAAGCGTGTTTCGTAACAGGAAGAGTCAAGGATCACAGGACTAGCAGCCTTCTTCCTCTTTTTTTTTGTGCAGAAGCCCGCTGCAGTGATCTCATCACAGGTTTGCTGTGCAGGTAGTGCCACTGGAGGCTGTTAGGGAACATGTTACCGTAGAACAAATCAGTTCAGCCTAACATTAAGTTCATATCTGGCAACTTGTTTAGTAGCAGCAGCAGCAAACTGTAAAATAACTCTTCAAGCATGTAGCATTTGTAATTTGGTGTTCTTGGTGCTGTGTGGCAGACTACCGCAATGTGCAATGCTGCGGATCCTTTGCAAGGGGTTTCCTTCAGTGTGCATTGAGTCATCGTGTTCACATGGCCTCTAACCACAGAAGATATTGTTCATCTCTAATTGTCTTTTTAATTAAAAAGCTTCAAAAGCATGAAAGTAGCTGTGGCTTAAACTAGATTTTAGAAGTTAATTTCCTTTAGAGTCTTAATATAACTTTTCTGAGATGAACGCTCACCAGCCTTCTTGTGGTCATGTACTAGACCTGTTGTACCACATCTTTGGTTTGGTTTCTTATGCCACCCAAGTTGCTTTTAGTAGCACGAATGGTCTCTCTTGTCCTCAACTAAGTGCAAGAAGAGCTGTCTGTTTTTAAGTTGAGGGAACAATGACTGGATTGCTTAATTCTCAAAAATTAAGTTTCTGCACCAAACTCTGCATGGGGCATGCTTCGAGGCTGTGAATGTGCTTGCCCTGGAGGTTCAGAAGGCTTCCCACTCTGCGGTCATCCAGTTGGTTTGTGTTACCCTCCCAAGAGGGGATGCCCGTGGGTGCACAGTTAAGGCTCTTTCCTTGTTTAACCAGTTGCTGGTGAAGTTGGTGCCCTGCTTACCTTCTGCACTTGACTTTCAGTTGTCTGTGAAACATTGACCTCCACAGCAGCCCAGATCCAGAGGCTGGTGGTAGTCCCTTGAGCCTGCAACACAGATGAACCAGGCACCTTCTGATAGGGCTAGTTGGAGAGTTTCTGTTCTCTGCTTTTAGTGACCTTTCTTTCTTCCCATTGTACCCTCTTTTTTTGTGTGTGTTCTGCCCTAGTTTTCTTTCATTTAATACCACTTTGCTTGAGTTATCCGAGTGCCACCTTCTTACCCCTGGCCACTAGAAGTTGCTGACAGGCCTTTTAAGAGCACCTAGTACAGACATGATACTTACCTATAAGCTGTTGACTTAAAAATTGTTCAACATGTGTGTGCTGAAATTGCTTGCCAGGAGTTACTTTGACTTACCAGATGCTTAGCTTGGCAATAACGTGAATAACCCAAGGAAGTCGAGCGTGTGGGAGACAAATGATGTGCCCATATCCAAATTTCATAAAGTTGTTTTCCATCAGTATTGTGGTTTTAGTGCAGCTTGTATCCCTAACAAAAAATACTCGCTCTTTATCCAACAAAAAAGTGATTGAAAAAGCCTTCAACAACATGCTTTTCAGTATTGCCAAATTTCTTTTCCAGTTCATAGTCTTGAAAGCTCAGTGTGGGAAGAAATGGCACAAAGACTAGCTGTTAGTGTGAAGTGGAAGGATAATCACCCTCTTAATTTACAGCATTTGATGTCTTTGAATGGGAAATAGACCATCTGAAAGTAGGCTTTCATTATCTGCTCGATAATTGAATAACTATGCTCCAGGCTGTTAAAAGTTCAAAGACTCCTGAAGCTAATTCAGCCCAGTTGTAATAGAGTGCACCTTGAAAATATTTATTCAGATTTACCAGTCTCAGCTCCCCAGTGATGAACTGTGTTTTGAAAGTTCTGGGCACTTACTGATTCCTTTGCGTTTGGCTGGATCGTGGAGCGCTCCTAGCTCCTGAAGCCAGACTGTAAGCAAACACTTTGCACGATGTTTTTTAGAACCTCATCCCCTCTTTCTTCAGAGGAGACAGAATTTTAATTAATTTTAATTAGATTTTTAAAATCTTCATATTAAAATAAAAATCTAAAATTTTAGTGCAGTCCTTTATTGGAGCCATAATCTTGGCAGGGAACTGTGTGGCTGCTTTACCACTTTGGAGTTCAAATACTCATGCTGATCTTACATGAAAGGAATCTCCCCCTTGTCAGTGAGAGGTTTTATTGGTTGACTGGCTATAAATTCCCAAGTCTAAAGTAGTTTTTAAAGTATTTATGGTAGCACTTGGTCCTTTGGCATTATTTGAGAGGAAGCAACAGCAAATGTACATCTCTTACGGACACCTTAAACAAAGACTTGTAAAAAATGCTTGTATTTGTTTTGAAGTATCTGTCTACCCCCATGGTCCTGCATTCTGTCTATTAAAACACATTTGGGACAGTTTTCCAGTTCTGAGGTGCCAGACTCTGCAGATGCCAGCCCAGAGCTGAGGACTTGCTCTGTGCCCTGCAACACTGCTGGAAAAATGAGGCACTGTCCCAGGGAGCTCAACTTCTACATCCTCACCAAAGTTGGCAGGTAGATGAGACCATGTGTCAGTGGCAGGACATGGTACCTGTGGAGTATTTAGTTTCAAAACCTTGGTTTGAAATCTAACCAACAGCATTTTGAGCACATTGTATTCTGTGGTGAGCCTTAAGGATTGAACAGTGTCTTTGGAGGGGGAGTTTTTTCTCTGTCGTTTTCACTCTTCTTCCCCATCTCCTGAGCTGTTCCTGTGCCTGTGGGACATCAAGGGAGAGAGGCCCAAAGGGTTAAATTCTGAAAAATGTGCAGAGAAGTCAAAGCATTTGTGTTTGATCTCTGAGGAAGAAGTAAGAGACAGTGGAAAGGTAGGGAAGGAGTTGATGGTTTTGACCAGGAAAATATTTTTAATAGTAGCATGTAGAATAGATTTCAGAGAAGCAACATTGTGTATCAAGGCAAAAGATGGGGTAGAGCATCAGTCAAGACACGAGAGCCTCAGTGATGGGGACAGAAAGACAGAAAAGATCAATATGCAGTTACACAGGATGCTTTACAGACTTGACTCTGCTCCAAAATGAAGCCAAGCAGGACTCAACTTGAAGAAGGGCTTCTGTGCCTTGATCCATATACTACTCCTTTTTTCCAGTTATTGATTTTTTTGAAAAACAGGTACAGCTTTACTCAGGCTAATTGAGAGAAGAAAAGTGAGGTAATTGTTTTAGTCTATTGAAATAGCGTTTTGATTTATTTTTTGATAAATTTTTAATGTTAAAGTTGTTTCAAAACTAGTGGTTTCACCCTGAAAATATCCATGTCCTACTTAAATAATAAAAGGAAAAGTAAGAAAGATGTTTTCAGGAAAACAACCATCAGTGAAAACCAGTTCAGTTGTGTCAAAGCATTTACGTTCTAGACGGTTACATGTTCTGGCAGAGCATGGTTACAGGCTGGTTTCCCCAGCCAAGATTATATCTTGGCCATTAACTGCATTATAGTATGCTAAACCCCAAATTTGCTACCAAAAATGAATCTTTTAAGTGCAGATGCCCATTGCCTATGTCTGATAAGAATTTAGCTATAGATGCAAGATGGCACGTGTTGTGGTCTAATTGTTTTTTGTTTTCCTATTCCATTTCTCAGCTGGTCAAGACAGGCAGTTCTACCTGTTTTTTTTTTCCCTTGTCTCCCCATCTACATAGATTTTCTTTCATACTTCCTCTGTTTCCATAACAAATTTTGTCTGCCATGTTCGCCCTCAGTTGGATGAGGACATCCAGACGGAAGCAGTCTCCTTCGGGCTCTTCAGGCCCATTTCTACACACTTCTTCCTTTCTATTCCCCCTCTGATGCCATTTCCCGTGCTCCTGTGCTCATGTGTTTGGGTGCAGACAGATGAGGGCTCAAAGCTGGCCAAGCCCCAGCAGATGGTAGCCTGGACGCAGTGTGGCCGTGTTGGCTTGCTTCTTGCACTGCACTTATTTCAGGCACCAGCAGCTCACAGTGAGGAGAAAGAAAGTTCAGGGCAGCCCGTCCCTGTTTCTGTAGATGTTGCTATCATCTGAAAGGATTTCATTCCACTCGGAAAATTGCCAACTTTGCTGTGATAACATCATTGCTTGCACAGCAACCGAGCTGTTTACGTTATCTGGGCGGATATGAGTTTTTGCAGCACAAATGCTTTGTGCCCTACTCAGAAGCCAAACAATTTAGCTTATGTTGCTTTTAAAGGTATAAAAGTAGATATTTCACTATATCAAACTTGGCAAGTAACTAATCTGTGACTTTAACAGCTGGTGAAACTACCCAGCAAATGGAAAGCCTGGTAAATCACATAGGCTGGGCAGTCTACTCAGCAGCTGAACATGTTCAGCATACAAAAAAAACAGTAAATTAGTCTTTTTTTAACTTTCAGTGAAGAAGTCACATAAGCCGTGATAAACTGTTCCCAGCAGTAGACCATCCTCTCATGAAAACATGCCTTTTTCATTTCATCAGCCCTTTTGTCCCCAGCATTGTGCTCATGTTTATTATCTGCCAGGGTCCTCAAGAGTTTGATTTTGTTCTTGTTTTGTTCCTTCAGGATCACGGGTCTCCAAAAAGGGCGCTCAATCCTGCAGGACTATTCCTGTGATCATCACTTTTACTCTGTAGTGTTGTGTGTACTACATGACGGCTGAGCTCTTTGTTGCTTGTGTAGGCACAAACTGAGCTATTGTTCTTGTGAATCCACCCATTTTCTCTCAGCCAGATCTGTAAGGAAATTACTTCTAAATGGAGAAAAGAACATATAGGGTCAAAAACCCCATGAAGATCTCTGTAGAAACCTATGCAGTTAAAGAGGATGCCCATTTACAGTTATCCAGAGCTCTGTTTTTAATTAGCCAGTTGATTAATCAAGTTCTATCGTTATTTTTTTGTTTTGTTCTGTCAGTCTCGTAAGTAAAATGCTGCTTCGAACCAAGTACAGATGTACAGAAATCTCTTTCCTTGGTCAGTACTATTGTCTATATCAAACAAACATCTAATTTTCTCAGAAATATCATTAGTTCAATATTATGCATCTCTTTAATCTCTGCTGACTGATGGTTATTATAAGCAAAGAGCTGGAAGGCATTAATTGATAGCCCATTTGCTTTCCCTGGCATTGCTGTGGCCCCTTGGCTTGCTCTGGCGTCATTGAGGCATCAATAGGTCTCTTAATTACTCCAGTCAATCCATTTGCTTGTTCTGAATGCTGGCATGTTTGCCCAGTCTGACATTTCATTGCCTTTCAAGACTTGGGAAAGGCATCACTGATGGTCCAGATAGTTTTTCAGGAGCTCTCTAAAAACTCTTGGATGTGAGTTAGCCACAGCTACTTGTTTACTGTACAGCTTCTTATGCAGTGGCTACTCATCTCTCAGTTACTTCTGAAAGAGCATCTCAGAGTGGCTCAGCTCGAATCCATTCTTGTAACACCATGGAGCTGCATTGAGACCTGCTTTTTATCTGCTCGACTGGTTCTAGCCCACCTAGGATCAGCTCGTTACCATAGTAAGGTTTCCCACCCGTAGCCCTGTGGAGTCCTGATGGGTTTGGGTTGCTGGCATGGGATGGGACCCTGCATACCTTGCTGAGGGAAGCAGACTTTTGAAGCCTGGTGGCTGGAAGCTGACAGTTTACATGTTTATCCCATGTTTCCTATGTATTATTGTATGGACACAGCTGGGAATGCTGCCTGATCGCTTGCTCTCAGATCCTGTTTGGTCTTTCCCTGTCCTGGTTTTGTGTACCGACCTGCCTGCTGAAGGAAGGAGAGACTCCTGTCTTTGCTAATTTCTTGGAAATGTTCAAGGATGGTGTTGCCTACAATCTGTGTATGATATTTCCTAAGCAAAATCTGGCCTGACTGAAAGCTTTCTCAAGCCCTGGCCACACAGACCCTCTGTTTCAGCGCCCAGCATCGTGTCCAGCTGGTAAAACTGAGGCTCAAATGTGCCACTGTTTGCTTTCCCCTCGTGGAGACAGCAAGGCCTCAAAGGCAAATATTTAATCAGTCAAGAGAAAGGTGGAATTTTCCTGCCTTTCTGTGAATTTAAAACAAAATTGAAGCAACTGGCAGAACTCCTGTTGGCAGGCTGGGATGGAGGGGAGGGGCCTTGCTGCTGCCATGCTGCTTGGGCGTGCTTCAGCCTGCGTTTCCACTGAGGGCAGCACCAGCCAGAGATTCCTGCCCCGCACCTACTTCGTGTCCCTCCAGTTGGTAAAACCGCCGATATGGCTCATGTGAGCCAGATTACTGAAGCAATCAAAGTCTTTTGCTGTAAAGCATGGGAAGAAGGGAGAGCGTCCCTGGCGTGAGGGGATAAGCAGTAAGAGGAAGGGATGACTTAAGACAACAGAGCTGAAGGAAAGGTACATGGACTTGTACCCCAAAGCATCTGGAAGGAGTTGAGAGTGGAGGCTCTGGAAGACTCCAGTCCCGTGTGGCTGACATTTCTTTATGTATGTCTCTCGAACCCTTAAATAGAGGCTGAGGGGTATCAAGAGTGAAATGTGTTAAATGGAGCCAGTGAAAAGTTGGTGGTGCACAGATGTAGACGTGCTTGATTACGAGAAGCCCTGTGTCCTGCCTAACGGCTTCTGTTGTGCTTTTCAGATTCCCTTCTACAAGCAGATGTGCAAGGGTATTCAGGCTGGAGAAATGTGCGAGAAACTGGTGGGATACTCTGCAGTGTACAAAGTCTGTTTTGGAATGGCCTGTTTCTTCTTTTTGTTCTTCTTGTTCACCATCAAAATTAACAGCAGCAAAAGCTGCCGAGCATACGTTCACAATGGGTGAGTATTTATTTGATTGCTTAATTTACACTTGTCTTTACAGATTTGTTCTGCCTGCTGTCCAGTTGGGTGTATTACTAGGCAAAACCAAAACAAAACAAAAGTCAATTTTACTGCTTTTGTCAGAAATAATGCAGTCGAGTGAAAACAAACTAAAGTGACAATCAGTCATCAAAAGCTGTTTTTTCTCTTGTTGGGCTTTAAATAGAGATTTTTCATTATACTTGAGTTGAAGACCTCTAATTCCTGTTACAACCGGGTGATTATTTTTTTTTCTTTTCATCTCCTCTTGTCCAGATTCTGGCTCATTAAACTTATACTTCTGGCAGCAATGTGCTCAGGAGCCTTCTTCATTCCCGATCAAGACGCTTTCCTCAATGGTGTGTCCTTCTTGGTTTTTTGTTAATGTTGCTTCATTCTGTGTTACCTTGTGAGTGGTTATAAATCCTAAAAGTATGATCAAAGTGAATATTGCCATATTTCTTCAAGTAAAGGCAGTATAGTCTAGGTGCAAAAGGAATATTTGGAGCTGTTTGGGGGGAACTCTGTGTGCACAGAATACGTGGTCTTCATGTGAAAGTGCAGTAAAGAGCATGTTTTTTTGTCTGACAAAGAGCAGGCCAAATGGGAGGTAAAAATACCACTGCAGTGCTGTCTCGCAAATTTTTGGGGAATCAGGAAGCTGTAATGGTGCACAAGAGATTATTCACTCAAGAACGCAGAGCCACATGTTAGTTTGGCTTGTGCAGGTAGCTCTGCTGTAGCATAGCAGCCGTGGACGGTGGTGTGTGGTGGAGAGGTGCCAGTGGTCAAGGGGCCACAATGACCTGCCAGGTGCTAGTGTTGGCTGCCTGGAAACCTGCAGGGCCACAAAAGAATTTGGGATATGGTTAACTTTCAGGCCGGTGGCATAAATGCAGTAAGGTAATATTACACTTCTTGGAGCGTGTTGCGAGTGCTCTGCTGAGGATGCTGTGCCTGAAGCATTTCCAGTTTTGGAAGATGCCCTGGCACTGCGCAGGCGTGCTGGTACTGGCCCAGTGCTTAAATGCCAGCTCTGGGGAGGCTTCTCACAGGGCTCTTGTGGGCTAGGAGCAAGCATCCCAGTGATACCGAGATGAGTTTGTCCACTTCACCAGGTACTTGTAAGCCCTTAAGCTGCTGAGCCTGGGCAGGTGGAACGGGATGGGATAAGTAATGCAAAGGAGTGATGGTGCCTGCTTCCACTAAGGCTTGCTTGGTACTCATAAGCAAGCGAGGCTGCCTGTCATCTTTGCAGGTGATCCTTTTCATGGTGAAAAATCGTCAAGAAATTAAGCATTTGGGGAAAAGGAGAAACAGAACTTTTTGTTCTGATCAGAGTGCTGTTTCTCAACAGCAGTCCAACTAGTATGGAGATAAAGCATAACAAGCTTTCTTCCCCAAATTGGCTCTTGGCTTTCCTGTCTAAAGCTGTTTTCTGTACATCCTGCGAAACTGTCCACCAGTCAGCTCCTGCATTTGAGATTTACAGGTGATTTGGTTAATGCGTGGTTTTGTTTTCCCTTTTTTCCCCTCCCATCAAGAAACTTACACTTTCTTTTTTTTTTATCTTGAACGCTCTCCCAGTTCGCTTATTTTTTCTTAAGGAAAAAAAAAAAAAAA